CTATCTATCTATCTATCTATCTATCTATCTATCTATCTATCTATCTACCTACCTACCTACCTACCTACCTGTATAGATCGATCTATCGATCTATCAATATACCATCTACCTACCTACCTACCTACCTATCCATACAACCATCTAAAAGGTCTGTCTGTCTTCCTGCCTGCTTGCCTGCCTACATACCTATCTACCTCCCTCCCTCTCTCTGTCTCTGTCTCTCTCTCTCTCCATCCATCCATCCATCCATGTTCGAAGCGCTGGCCCCGCAGGCACATCAGGAAAGAAGGGAGGGAGGGAGGGAGGGAGAGAGAGAAAGAGAGAGAGAGAGAGCAGGTAAATGGACTAGAATAGATATCTCATTATTTTTCTCCTCCCTCCCTCCCTCCCTCCTTCATTTCTTTTTCTTTCTGTCCCTTTCTTCCATCCCCCCTTTCTTTGTCTGTCCTTTTTTCTTTATTTCCCTTTTCTCTTTCTTTTCTTCCTTCTCTCTTTCTCTCTTTCTTTTCTCTCCCTCTCTCTTTCCCTCTCTCAGGCTCATCCCATTGACTTGGTGCACCGCTCTGCTCGAACTTGCTTGGGCAGGTCCCTCCGGTGCAGCGGGCTCAATGGGGTGGACCTGCGGGGCCGGCACCTAAAACGCAGCAGTGGCAGCACATTTGAAAAGTCAAGCAAAGCCAGAGGTCAGTAATTTTTGCTGCAAAGAATCACCAAAGCTTCTGGGTTGGGCACAAGAAGGGACACACATGTCAATGCAATTCAGCAACATAAAGAAATAAAAACAAAACAAATCAACAAGAATCGGCAAAGCATCTCTGATTAGATTTTATTCACTACTAGAATCTAATCAGAGATGCTTTGCCGATTCTAGTCCAATGACCTGCTCCAGCTGGATTAGAAGGGAGTGTGTGTGTATGTGTGTGCATGGCTGTTAAAACTCCAAAAACAGATCAAGTAGCTCTGGGGAGGCCAGTCATAAATTAGAACACTTGCTAAACAACCAGCCATTAAGTGAGGACCCCTTGTATTTGGTTTGCCAGTCACCTGGCCATGCCCACCCAGTCACATGACCACCAAACCACACCTATCCGGTCATGTGACCAGCAAGCCACGCCCAGCCAGCGAGCCACGCCAGCCAGTCACATGACCAGCAAGCCACGGCCACCCAGTCACGTGACCAGCAAGCCACGTCCTCAAATTAGAAATTTGAATCCCACCCCTGGGTGGAGGGCACCAAGGATAAGTTTGTAGCACCAAGGGGGCAGTGGACTGAAAAATTTTGGGAAACACTGGAAAGGTTGATAGGAATCAGGTTTTAAAACATTGTTAGTTTTGCTTTCAGAATGTTTAACCTTTTTCTGTTTCATGTAACATATCTTGCAGAGAGAAAAGAAGATAAAAATTGCATATCTTGCAGAGTTTAGTAGTTTAGTTTGAATAGATAGGTAAAGTTCCTGTGGTAGATAGTCCCAATTATTATGAACTAACCCGGTTACAAGAAGCAGGGGGTGAAGTTCAAAATATTGTAACTTATGTACATTAGTTGTGTTTGGAAGCCTTAATGATGGAAAAATATTCCCTTATTAAGAGTATAGGTATTATACTCGGTATCACCTCAAATTGCAAGATGGGCCATAAATAAATTTAATAATAAATAAAACAAAAAATCAATTACCTTTGTCATTAAAAATGAATTCTGACATAATAATGTGCAGTGGTAGTATATGGTAGTGCTTTACATATATTTAGTTTATTAGATAATATTATTTAAGTTGCATACATATTGCAACTTCTGAGGGAGAGAAATATTTGCTCTGAAAAAAATAAATCCTGTCGTTAAATTGCTTTTAGTCCCATTGGGCAGTGCCTCAAGTAGGAGAAAGAAGTATATGTGGTAATTAAGTCACACTCAGCTATACACATTTGAAAGTAAATGGGTTTGGAGATAGGTTCTGGAAGAGAAATGAGAGGATGTCCATTCTACTTAGAACTTTGTAATGGAATTTAAAATCATTTTTCCATTCTGTAGAAGTAAAAACATATGAATTGGAAAAATTTCTGGGAAAAAAAATCAAAAATATACAACTACATTCTACAAAAATACTTGAAACAAGCCAATTCCAAATAATGAAATGAATCTTTTTAATATACTATAGTTAAGATTAGCTCTGTATTGTCAGAATATTAAATGAGGATGGAAACTACTAACCTGCTCATGGAGAATGGGTAAGCCCTAGACCAGGGGTGAGATTCTACCAGTTCGCACCTATTCGCTAGAACAGGTTGTTAGCATTCTAAGCAGTTTGGAGAACCGGTTGTTAGAAGAAATTAACGGTCTAATCCTGTAAGGAAGGTAGGAAGGAAACATTCTGGTGTTACTTACAGAAACTGCGTCTCCATTAACCCTTATTACATTCTTGGCAGGACTAGACTTCCTGTCTCAGGAACTTCTCTGGAGTTTTTTCCCCTTCCTTTGCTAGTACTTTGTTTGTGTGGAATGACCATTCAAAGTTACAATGGCACTGAAAAAAGTGACTTATGACCATTTTTTACACTTACGACTGTTGCAGCATCCCCAGAGTCATGAAAGGCCAGGCGAGGAGATGTGTGCCTCGATGTGAGTGATATTGAGTTGGCCACACCCAGCCAATAACATGACCACCAAGCCATGTCCACCCAGTCACATGACCACCAAGCCACGTCCACCAGCTAAGCCACACCCACAGAACTGGTTGTTAAAAAAATTGAATCCCACCCCTGCCCTAGACCCACTCTTAATTGTTCCCATCATATGTGTAAGTGAATGTGTGTACTTTATAAAGAGACAGGCAACATCCCCCAAAAAGTGATGTGTGGATGATAATGATGGCAATGTTTGATTCTACCATTAGCAATCTGAAATGCCTATTAAATGCCTCCCCAAAATGTAAAAATTGAAACCATCACGAAAACAGCATACAATATGCATGTCAGTTGCTCAGTAAATACAGGGCCTTTGAAATGAACTAAGCATCCGAGGAGGTGATACCTGTTATTCTCTTTCAAAAACATTAAATAAATAATCCTTAAAACCGATTCAAAGCTTAACACCAGCTGCTGTACAAAAAAGGTCATCAGATGAAACTGAGCAGGGAAGGCTACGTACTCAACCTTTGGCATATGTATTGCACACCTCTTGTTAAATACTTTTCAAATGTCCACACTTCCATTAAAAATCTGAATATATAAAAATCTTTTACTTCAACATATTTCAAATTGTCATATTTACACTTCAATTTTAAAACAAAGGTCAGTGAAAAATACAGCTATGTTACCACTGAACAATTTAGGATTAAATTAAAAAGCACATATTAAACCAGAAACTTGTCTATGGCCACGAATGTAAGAAAACACAGCAAAGCTAGGCAGGGGAGGAAAAAGCTTAAAATTCCACGTTAAACACTTCTATTTAAAAGAAAATACATACACAGTATCAGAAATGTTTGGCTTTCAAATAACACGATTTTCCTTAAGTGTAAAATCTTACAGCTATGAAAAATAATGTACAACACATCTGGAGAACAACTTCAGATAAAGGCTAGTGTGCCTTAAAATAGATATTTCACCAAGACAGCCTTTACTGAAAGACATTAACTACGCAGAGTTAAAAAACTTAAAATTGTAAGAGTGAGGGAGTGAGTGTGTCTTTGTCTGCACGCACAAGTTTTAACATTGTTACTAGGCTATATAATAAATACAAGCTTTGAAGAGAATTGAGTGTGCAGGGCAACTGCAGCCTGTGCAGGCCAGCCTATTAAACAAACAGGAGCCAAGACTTCAGAAAACAGCATTGAAGTAACCAAGATCCCCAAAACTGAGAAATACTCAAGAAAATGTGGCTGCTTGCTTCTACAACTTGTGCTGGGAATAACAGAGAGAACACAGGTCACTTGCTTTTAAGTGCTAATGTAAACAAAGCTGCTATTTCACCTCCAGGAAGGATAGACCTGCCTGGAAAACATTGCAGAGATTTCAGCCAGACCTTTTAAAAGGTTTTTGATTAAAAGAGTGAGAAAGTTTTCATGTGCTTTGGTCCAAACTCTGACTAGATTTATAATGCTGATGGTTCTTCGGGATGGAGTGGGGAGAGATACACTATGCAAGCTGTTTGGAAGTTGAGTCATGGCAACTGGATTTCTTTTCTTGTTGGTTTGAAGCATTTTGCTGTTTCCAGACAACTCCACCTGGATGACTAGAATCGTCATCGATGTTATGCAAGCCATGGAAAATATTCAAATCTGGTTCCATGTCTTGCTTTGATATTAACTAAGTAAAAGTATGTGTGTTGCTGTGTGTGGTTTTTGGTCTACATGCAGTGATGCATTTCTCATTATAGGAATTATTTATACGCTGAGGTTGGAGTGAACCCTATCAAGGACAGTCACTCTCTGCAAAAGAAAGCCATTAGTGGCTTGATCAATACGAACATTATTTTTACTTGCTAAAGATAAAAGGGACAGACATGCTTTCTTTCCAGGAAATTCAGTGTTTGTTTTTGCCAGGCAGTGGAAAACTAAATTTTTGTCCTTCTGATCTCTCCTGGACGGCGACACCAAAAAGCTAGTTCTGCAATTTCTGCCTGGTTTTCTTTTCATCTCTTTTTTATTTATTTATTTTTTGGGAAGGAGAGTGTATATCTGTAGAATTCCAGTTAAATTGTCTCCAGTTATCATGCTCAATTTAAGCTACTACATTTACACATATCCTATTAATATCTTGTCTAGGACAAAACATAATTTGAAATGTGGCATTAACACTTCTCACAGCAGAACACTTTCCAGTGAAGCCCTTCATCCTCACTAGTTCCTTCTCCAGCTTTTGTCGGCTGCATTTTTGTGCAAACAACACATTATATAAAGAGAAACATACTTTTTTTTAATTTACGTGAACATTCTTCTGAACAGGTATCAGAGTCCTTCACCTTGCTTTTCACAGTCGTAAACAGCAAATGATCTACAATACTCTAATCAGTTGTCATGGATACCATGTAAAGCTCAGCAGGGTTGTTTATGAACATCCAGTTATAAAAACTCCACATAGTTCTCAGGAATCAGTCCTATTTTCCCATTCAAGGTTCCTTCCAACCAGCCAGGTTCTTGAGATGGATGAACTGGAAAGATAATATGCAGGTTATTAAACTTGTAAATCTGAGATTTTAAAACAAAATTGGAATTTTTCCAATATATATGTATGTATGTTTCTTGTTCTGCGTTGCTGAGGGAAGAAGTGGGGATAGAGACGCAACACCATTTTGTCCTGATGGTGCCCCTTGGAGCTTTCTACATTGGGGTCTACAATCCAGTTCAGTCCTGTGTGGATGTGTTCTTTCTCAGCTCTCAAAAAGGCATGGATATTCTGGGGATTTACATTTGCAAATCTGCATCCATCTGCACTTTTAATTCACACATGACATTGACTTGCCTTTCAGAATGACCCCAGAGGCCAAAGCACACCTAACAGGCATGCAAGCTTATAGCAGGTTTCCAGATGTTGTAAAGTACTTTTTGTCCACCAGTGGAATGCTCCATCTACTGGCTGATTTCAGAATCTTAAAATCAAGCCACATCTAAGCTGATAGTGAAGAGCCACAGTTCCTCATTTCAAATTCTCATTTGAAACCACCAATCTGGCTGTTACATGAACTCATCCGTGCTATTACAATCTAAGGAGGAGTTTGTTTTCCATAGGAGACATTTGTTTCTGCTCACCTCACCTCACCTCACCTCTCTGCATGCGTGGTGTTTCAACATTGCATTTTTACCTGGACAAAACAACATGTACAATTGATCTTCCCTCTCCTCCTCCACTTCGTAACACTTTTCCCTTAGCTTAACAGAATTATGTCCTAGAATGGGTGGATGCATAACTTATACCCAATTTTCCTTCATTTCTCATCATTGCTTCTCAGAAGGATTCCTTTTCAAGGTGAATGCCCTATCAGCAGGCTAGTAGTCTAAAAGGGCAAGCACATCAAGGGCTTATAGATGCAGGTTTATTAATATATTGCCAGATCCTAAAGCTCCCAGGCTCAGAGTTTTATTTATTTATTTTTATAATCAATCTGTTTTCCCTGAGCAAATTAGTGCTGTAAAATGTAGCACATATGAAGAGTGATAGAATGGATGGGGAATATTAACTTTTGATTGATTTTCTGTAGAAGGAAAGATAATGTTGTCATTGTTGTTAAGCCATAACCAGAAAACGCTAGGTGCTGTGGGGAACAACTTCTGTGAGTGGGTGCAAAGGATACTTGGCAAGTGACTCACAAGGTCTCATGGTCATCATCCTGCGACAAAAATATAGGCAGGCCTAAAAAAGAATGCTATTCTTTGAAAATAAGCATTTGATTTGAAAAGGTTAAGGGACTACAGGTAATCCTCGAATTATGACCACAATTGAGCCCAAGATTTCTGTTGTTAAGGGAGACATTTGTCCAAGTGAGTTTTGTCCCATTTTATGACCTTTCTCACCACAGTTGCTAAGTGAATCACTGCAGCTGATAAGTTAGTAACCCGGCTGTTAAGTGAATCTGGCTTCCCCATTGACTTGGCTTGTCAGAAGGTCGCAAAAGGGGATCACGTAACCTTGGGACACAGCAACGGTCATAAATATGAACCAGTTGCCAAGCACCTGAATTTTCATCACATGATCACGGGGATGCTGCAAAGGTCGTAACTGTGAAAAACAGTCATAAGTCACATTTTTTAGTGCGGTTGTAACTTGAATGGTTTAAGGTTGACTCAGCCTTCCATCCTTCCAAGTTTGGTAAAATGAGGACCCAGATTGTTGGGGGCAATAGGTTGAACTGCTTAGGGAGGACTGCAAAGCACTGTGAAGTGGTATATAAGTCTAAGTGCTATTGCTATCGCCATCTTCTCTGTTTAATTTCTTCCAGGATTAATTTGGTCACTCTACTATCAATGGCATATAACCTGCATCTCCAGTGTTAATAGAACTTCAAAGACTAACTCATGAACAAAGAGATATTCCTTCACCTAGTCCACACAGCTTACAAAACCTAAATTTTGAAGATGAAGGGCCCAAAGAATAAAATGAAGAAGAATCCTTTAATCACACACAGCTTTATGACTTTTAATGTGTTGTTTTTTTTCATCAGGAAGTTCAAGCCACAGGGACAGTTCATCCTCGTTATTCATAGTTCCTCTAAAATATCTCCTTTTTTGTAGCACTGAGGTTTAATTTCCCACTGTGGCCTATATCTTAAACTAAAATTCCACTCTGTGATATATTTCTTCTTACACCCTCCTTTCTTTACCATCTTCCTCCTAGTCTTTTTTTAGCCCTCTGTATTTAAGTAGTTAACAAGCATTAGGAAATTATATTCCTGTTTATGAAAAATACTAATGACAACATGGTTACATAAGCCTGACCATTCTTGTTACCCACAGGAGGAGGAAGGCAAAAAGGAAGGAAATACTGTCAAGAAGCCATTGCCGTTTCTATGCAGATAATGTAAAAGCCACTCTTGGGAGCGAACAGGGCTTTATATACAAAAATCTCTTGCTGACCTGCTCATTAAAGAGACTTCCTATAGTTGTCTTTGATAAAGTCCTTCAAGGACAGCTAGGAAACATGAATCAAGACATCAAGAGGTAAACACCCTTGGAAAGATGTGGAAAGTAATGGAACCATCTTTGTTTCTTGGGGTAATCTTTGATTAAACTCTCTAAACCTAAGACAAACAATATACATTAGCAAAAAAAAAGTAATTACACTATGACACCTCAGTCTGAATTGTTATTAAGAGATAATAGATTATGAGTCAGAAGTCAGTAAAAATAGAGATCAGGTGTTGATGAGTTAGCAATTATACCTAGTATTTTGTAAATTAAACACACTGTCTATTCTTGATAAATTAGCCTGGATTTCTCTTTCAAAAATCTTTTGAATACCCCCAACTTTCAAGAGCCAGATAAGTCAATAACAGGCTAATCCTTAACTTTCTGGAAGAATCATTTCTTCTTTTTACAGATAATGCTTCCTGAAACATCTACATTTAATTTTAAAATCATGCATATTTTACTACCTTGCGGTATAACTATCTACTGGCTTAGAACCAGAGGTGATATTCAGCAGGTTCTGACCAGTTCTGGAGAACCGGTAGCAGAAATTTTGAGTGGTTCAGAGAACCAGCAAATACCACCTCTGACTGGAGATTTTACAGTATCCTTTCCCTGCCATGCCTATCAAGCCATGCCCACAGAGCCGGTAGCAAAAAAATTTGAATCCCATCACTGCTTAGAACCAGAATAAGGCTAGTTCAGAATAGTTTGAGATTTATAAAACCAGAAAATATATGGGCTGGGAAAGCATTTTAAAAACCCTTGGTACTTGCTTATCTTAAATAGCAGTATCACTTAGACTTATATACCACTTCATAGTGCTTTACAGCCCGCCCTGAGCAGTTTACAGAGTCAATATATTGCCGCCAACAACCATTTTACTGACCTCAGAAGAATGGAAGGCTGAGTCAACTTTGAGCTGGTGAGAATCGAACTGCTGGCAGTCGGCAAAATTAGCCTGCAATACTGCATTCTAACCATTGCACCACCATGGTGCTTAAATACTTTAGTAAGGCTCAAAGAGAGGAGCATGGATTTTAATAATCAATAGATCTGTCCTTGTATTCAAGTGATCCTGAGATCTGATTGGCAGCATTTAGAAGAAGGCAGCAAGATTATGGGGACAGGATTCTTCAGGTATTATTATGGTGTGAGCAAATGCAGAAATCAAAAGATTAGCCAAAACAAAAGTCCTTGTGACAAGTCACACTGGAATTACATAAAAGGCTGTGATCATTCTTGAAAGATACTTCGACAGCTGTCATCAAAGATGGTGGCCAAGAAACTTCAAGCTGGAGATTAGGGAGAGGAATGTACTGTATTTTTCGCTCTGTAAGACACACCTGACCATAAAGTTTAGAAGAGGAAAACAAGAAAAAAAAATATTCTGAACCAGAGCCTGAGAGGACCACAGATAGGTGTCCTCTCATGTGCCAGCTTTGAATTCCTGCACTGTGGAAAAGAGACAGAAGAGGAGGGCAATGACAAAGACAGAAGAGGTGGGGTTCAGCACTATAAAAGGACCCTGCCACTGCGGCCCGGCTGCTATTCACTAAAGGACCGGCAAAAAAAGGTGCATCTTATGGAGGGAAAAAAGTGTGTCTTATGGAGCGAAAAATATGGTACATTCCTCTCCCTAATCTCCAGCTTGAAGTTTCTTGGCCACCATCTTTGATGACAGCTGTCGAAGTATCTTTCAAGAATGATCACAGCCTTTTTTACATAAGCAACTAGCCTATTTCTTTTTTAGAGTAGGTCCTGTATGGTTATGTCATAATGTCTCTTGTGATCTTGGGCTTAAAGAAATTCTGAACTCTAGGCTAATCAGGAGAGAAGGTACAATTATGCTATTGTCTCTTTGTCTCCTTATAATTATACAATGTATAATTATATACAATAAATATACACGGTAAATATATAATAAATATACATTGTAAATACACAATGTGTAATTGTGGCAATAGCACAATGATTTCCTTGCAATCAGTTTAACAGTTGAAAAATGGAGGCATGGTGAGGAGGGTTTTTTCTTTTAATGAAACAAAGAAGAATATGTCCAGTGAGGACAGAATTCTGTTTCTTGAATCACATTTTGGATCCAGGAGAGAATCAGATTCAGGACCAATTACTCTAATATGTTAATGGTATCTCATTGCAGTCCATGCAGCAAACATTCTCTTAACATTTATGATTATTCGAATGGTAATCCCACTGACTCCACAATGTCTTTGTTAGACTTTTCTACACACACACACACACACACACACACACACACACACACACACAAACAGAGCAGTGGTGGGATTCAATTTTTTTTTACTACTGGTTCTGTGGGCATGGCGTGGCTTGGTAGGCTTGGCAGGGGAAGGATACTGCAAAATCCCAATTCCCTCCCCACCCCACCCCATTAACCTGCTTTCCAGTTCCGTTCTCCTGTGCAGGGCAACAAAAGAAGACCCAGCTGATCAGCTGGGACTTGGGAGGCAGAGAATAGATGGGGGCGGGGCCAGTCAGAGGTGGCATTTCCTGGTCCTCTGAACTACTCAAAATTTCCCCTCCCGGTTCTCCAGAACTAATCAGAACCTGCTGAATACCACCTCTGATATACAAATATATATTAATTTGCAGAAAAGTCTAACAAAGACATTGTGTGGGGGGACGGTAAGATTACCACATATATATTAATACAAAATGAGACTAGCAAATGGAAATTATGATTTCATTTCAGTAAATCTTTGATTATGAGATAGATTCTGATAAGATTACTTCAAATCTGCATTCTTTTCCGATTTTCTATCCTAATTTGTACATTGTTCCTATTTCATTCTATCTGACATACGTATATACAAAAGCAAAGAAATTAAGGGGAAAAAAATCACACGCTCAAAAGAACCCTTTCAGAATGATAACTGAACTTAGTTGTGTAAATATTAAACATTTTATTTCAACATTGAACCTAGGTTATTTTCCATTCTTTTTAAAGGCAGCCAAGTACTTCTTATAGCTAACCAAGCAAAACAAAGGAGCACTTCTTTCTGAGATTTAGACGTTGAACTATGTAAGAGTGAAACAAAGAAACAGTATTTGTATCTTATAAAACCATTTTAAAGTATTAATAAGAGGAAAATCATGTGACCACCCAAGAATGAGTATAAATATATGAATATGAATATATATATGGGCTGGGGTGGGTGTATATAAATATATATTTATTTTCTTAAGTTTTCACGGGTATCTATATGTATGGTATTCAGCTTTGTTCAGGTATTTTCCCACGTCATTATAGTTGTGCTTTTAAAGTTGTGGCAGAATCTCATCTGCCATCCTCAGGCTTCGTCTGTGAGTCAGACTTTCACAGCCATTTCTGTTTTAAAAGCACAACTATAATGACGTGGGAAAATACCCGAACAAAGCTGAATACCATACACACGCACACACATACACACACACATATACATACGCATACACACACACACACAATACATAATACATAATACACAAGGGTAGGATTCTACCAGTTCGCACCTATTCGCTAGAACTGGTTGTTAACATTCTAAGCAGTTCGGAGAATCGGTTGTTAGAAGAAATTACTGGCCTAATCCTATAAGGAAGGCAGGAAGGAAACATTCTGGTGTTGCTTACAGAAACTGCCTCTCCGTTAACCCTTATTACATTCTTGGCAGGATTAGATTTCCTGTTTCTGGCACTTCTCTGGAGTTTTTTCCCCCTCCTTTGCTGGTACTTTGCTTGTGTGGAGTGACCATTCAATGTTACAATGGCACTGAAAAAAGTGACTTATGACCACTTTTCAAACTTATGACTGTTGCAGCATCCCCACAGTCATGAGAGGCCAGGCGAGGAGATGCGTGCCTCGATGTGAAGGATATTGAGTTGGCCACGCCCAGCCAATAACATGACCACCAAGCCACGTCCACCCAATCACATGGCCACCAGGCCATGCCCACCAATTAAGCCATGCCCACAGAACTGGTTGTTAAAAAATTGGAATCCCACCCCGATAACGCATAATATATAACATAAGCCATTCGCTCCCCCTCTGTGTGTGTTTTTATGTGTGTTGTGTTATGTGTATCTGTACCCAGCTTATTTCATAAATGTGGATAGTCTTCCAAAAAACTATGGAGTTGGAGAAACCTGAGAGCCACATGGTCTCAAACCCATCTCCTTTTATTTGGTTCTTAGTGTGTCCCTCTGGAAATTGCGCATTTATGGCTGATGGGGGAACTGAAGGAAGGGGTCAGACCAAAGGCAAAACCAGGAATCTTACATTACTGCAAATTCAGCTCTATGTTCATGAATTTCTGGCTATAGCTCTGACCTCTACCAGCTGCTGCTTCTAACTTCTCACAGGGTTCATTTTACTTTCTTGACTAAAAATGCTTGCACTGCAAGCAAGAGATATAGGTTTCATCCCATGCTCCCTCTGTGGATGCCTATCTCTATCACAATATGAGCAGTGCAGCCCCATGTACGCCTTCCTTCCACAAAAGTATACCTAGAATGGGAAATTGTGCAGAAAATCCCAGCTGTATTATAATACTATACTAAAAAAGGGGTTGTGCATCCAATAGGTCCGTGAAGGCGAACTTATGGCACCTGTGCTGGAAGTGGCATGCAGAGCCATTTCTGCCAGCACACAAGCCGTCACTCAGAATAGATCCACTGCGCATGTGTGCGTACCTCCTGCCAGCCAGCTGATTGTATCTGGCATCTGCTGCGCATGCGCAGCAGGGGGTGGGGGCGTGCGCAGGACACGATGATGAAAAGGTTAGCCATCACTGGCATAGGTTGTCCACCACTTCTTTTTAAGCATTCCCTCGTGGTTGAGGCTGTTGATTGTGAGACCATTTGATTCAAGAGGTGGTGGGCTCTATTTCATTGGCATGGCTTAAGCTAAGGCTGGAAGGCTAATTGTTTTGGCTGCTGTCATTTTATCCTACATTACGGATCCAGCATTCAACAGAGGGTCGGATTTTATGGCCTTCACAAATCTATGATTCTGTGAACATTACTAAATATAACTTGCATTATGATCTTATGGTGTTGGAAAAGCTCCTCTAAAAATATGCATTTGGCTGGTGTTTCCTAATGTTCAGACCCAGCAGTGAGATGCTGGGTCTCTATCTATCTACACTGAATGCCTCTTTTCATTCCCAAGAAGCCCTCTCTCTAGTGAGTTCAACTCAGCATTTATCCTTACAAAAGAAATCTAACTAGCTTTCGGTAACAAAAGTTCAGGCTGAAAATAGCAGTGTCAGTGCTCATGGTATTTCTCAGAAAGCAAGAAAGTGCTTTTTTTTTTTTTCCCCTTTATCACCAGTTCTGATAGGATCAAATCTTAAGTTACATTACGTGACACCAAGCACAAGATTTTAGCACATTGGACTTGTCTTCCATCTCTTAAAATCAACTGTCTATAGAGATTCTCAGTCAACCAGATCATAGTTGTCCCAAAGGTGCTTTTTCAAGAGTCAACTGGACTTTCTGGTTTTCTTTGAAGACGTTTGGCTTCTCATCCAGGAAGCTTCTTCAGCTCTGACTGGATGGTGGGGAATGGAAGGATTTATACTCCTTACAGATGACTCGCTAAAAGAATGCAAATTACCATCGGTCTGCAAGGAGTATAAATCCTTCCATTCCCCACCATCCAGTCAGAGCTGAAGAAGCTTCTTGGGAAGCGAAAGATCTTCAAAGAAAAACCAGAAAGTCCAGTTGCCTCTTGAAAAAGCACCTTTGGGAATCACTTAAAATCACTTTTCCATGTTTTTCAGTCCACTGAAGGTAACAACTCTACTCTGATACTCACCATTATCAAATACGGTCCCTGCAGTGAAGGACAGCTCTGAGGGATGTTCTGCTTTACAAGCATACAAGGCTCTAGCTTTGCGGAATGGAGAACTGTGAAAACAGTAATAATTTTAAAAATCAGACAAAGGTAAGCTGATACATGTTTACGTGTGCAGACACAAAAGTTTTTTCTGGCAAATATTTCAAATAGATGTCAAACCTGCCAACTAGCAAAATGCAGAGCTGAAGGGGAAACACCAGTCAGAGTAGAGAAAAATGAAGAATATTTGAGATAACAAGCTAAAACTTATAGAGGCAAGCTACTTCCTCTTCAAACCATATTTCACCATTTTGGAAACTCTGCTTAGACTTATTTGCGGTGTTTGAGATTGAGGCACTCATACTGTTTGTTGCCCAGCAGAATGAGCAATAGCACCTCAGAGAACATTAGAAAAAAATGTGAAAGGCAAATCAGAGACAGAATACCGGGAACACAAACTCTACAAAACCAATTATTATTTGTTCTTTGGAGTAGGAATTGCTGATAAAAAAATATTAGTCAGTGGCTTGACTGAAACTCATGCAGCTAAAGTCTGGTACAAACAGCTTCTCAATGCTCAAAGATCTGGTAAACACAGGTTTTCTGGTTATTTCTTGAATTACGTTATCTTAATCACTAGGTCTAAGGTAGTCTTTTAGATACCTTATTCATCTGCTGTAGGTTTTTAATTGTATCCCTTAAAGGAAGCTGTTATAACGTGATAAAATAGAAGCCAGTAAGGCTGTCCAGTGATCCATAGGTTGATTATTTATTTATTTAATAAAGTCTAATTACAGTTCTCAATAAATCATCTAAAAATACACATAAAAACAGCATAAAAACAACATACAACAGTCCCAGTAGAAAACAAAGCACATGTAGGATAAAAATCAGGAATACCAATAATAATAGTGTAGTGGTAGGTAGCTACAGTGTTTTAGGACCAACCATCATTTAAAAAAAAAACAACACAAAAAAAACAACCAGTTGAGAAATAGACCACAGACTAGTAACTTGGCAGAGTAGTCGTGAAACCTTGAAAAGATATTCAGGGGACTTGATGTGTCCTTACCTACAAAAACCAGAATAGCATAAGCAACGTAAGCAATTTTTACCTGTGCATTCTATGAAAACTAAAGCTGGACTTTGATGACATAGGATAGAAAGAGAATTGATGCTTTGGAAGTCAGATGTTAGAATAGAATCCTTTACTGGCCAAGTATGATTGGACATATATGGAGTTTGTCTCTGGTGCATAAACTCTCAGTGTACAGACAAAAAACAAGAGGAGATAGTAGGAAAGATGAGAAAAAGAGAAATGAGGAAGTTGAGAAGGACAATAGCAATACAGCCTACTACATGGGACAATGCTGTGGGAATTAGGTGTTTACAGAATGATGGTATGGGAGGGGGAGGAGGGAAACTATCTTTGTATCTAATTGTTTTGGCATGCAATGCTGTATAGCAGTGTCATGAGGGGAGAAGTTGGAACCGTTTATGCCGAGGAAGTGAGGGGTCTGTAGATATTTTTTCAGCTCCCCTTCTGGCTCATGCAATATACAGGTCCTCAATGGAAGGCAGGCTGGTTGCACTTGGCTTTTTTTTTTTGCGGAGAAAATTGTTGGAGAAGATTCTTAACATCATGGTTAGGCAAGAGGACGAACAAAAGGATCATTGGGGGAAAAAAACCTATGCAGAATTCTTACTTGAAACACAAATAACCAGTCCCAAATTATCTTACTTGGGACATATTATGCAAAGACCCAGCTCTCTGGAGAAGGCTCCGGTGCTGGGAAAGCTGGAAGGGAAGAGAAGTAGAGGCCAGACATGCAGCAAATGGAATGACCGAAGTTACAGTGGTGATGGGTGCATCAATGGAAGACTTAAAGATCGGGTTGGGGAGAGGATAGAGAAACTCTATATACTATTCAGTTGCTAAAAATGATCACTGACCTGTTAGCAAATAGACAAGCAATCAGTAAGGCAATAGATAAAGCATAAAATCACAAAATCTCACTACAGATCTAAAACCTTAAAGTAACTCTTAACAGGTCTGCATGGATAAAAAGCTCTTCACCGCATATATAAAAATACTATGTGGTAGGCCTTAAGATAATATCTGGGAAGTGTATTTCCAAGATGGAATGGCACCCCCCAAAAAATCTTTCCTTGGGAAAGATAAATACGCCCTGGATGAGGACATCTGGGAAGGCCCTCGAGGGAAGTTTTTAGTTTTTTGGAGCCCAATATGAAAAGGAATGCTCCTTCATTAGGTGGGCCCCAAACAGTTTATTGCATTAAGCTATTATCAGCATTAGGAATCGGGACTCCAATGCCATAGAGTAATGCATCCATAAATCTAACTCTACAGTTAAGGTTTGGAACTGATAAATAAAAGAAAGCATTACTAGAAAGGAACAGTTGACAAATCCATGATAAAAAAACAGAAAAACAAAAACAAAACAAAATTAGCTCGGTGAGCTCCTTATGTTGGAGGTATGGACAAGGAAACATTCAGTATTTGTTTTGTTACATCTCCAACAACCGGAAATATCAGGTGCAAAAACTGATGTCAGGCATTATTTTTCTTCAGATAGTGAAAATTCCAGCAGTCTCCTGCTCAAAGCTGAATGCCTAATCCATAAGTTTGTTGATTAGTACCTATTTTGCCAATGGGAAAGTCGCATAAAGGGAAGTGTGGAAAAATAAGATTGCCTCTGCTTTTTGCCTTAATGCATTATTCTTGGAGAATCAAAGAGCCCTATGAAAACTTGATTTCTCAGTTATGCCAAGGAAGACGAACTCAGTATTTAAGGCAGGAGACCGCTATCAAAACGTTTTAGCGTAGATTCTTGTAATGAGAAGGATGCTGGACTGGAGTCACATGGATTTTGTAATCTATGGATTACAAAAGGAGATGAGTTGGCAGATCAGGCAAACTATTCTAACTGATCCCAGGGCATAGAGGCTAAAAAGGAAGAAGAATGGGCTGTTACTCCTAGTTTCCATGGACTGTCTATTTTTCTCTAGGAACTTCTTTAATTAGTTTTGGTTCTTTGCTTACTTACCCTCCCTCTCCTCTTGTAGAAAAGCCATATGCATTAGTGATTGTGGCATGGAGACTGTGCTTTTTTTTTTTTTTTTGCTAATGGAAAATATGTTATTTAAATTTGAGCTCCTTTACAGTCTTTGAAAATCCCCTGCTGAGAAATGTGTATAAAGACAAAACCAGATGACCTGGACAGCAGTATAATTAATATCAGAAAATACCAGGCCAGCTTTATCCTGAACCAAATGAGAAGATCTGCAACAGATGTTTGTTAAATCGTCCAACAATGGCGGCCTCTTAACTTTAGTGAATTGAACCACAATTGTTCTATCAAGAACTTTAAACAAAGGAAGGCAAGGATGATGGCAGGGTTCAATAAAAGGAAACATCTTCTGGAAAAATTATTCACATGCGCAGTACGCTATCTTTTCACTCACACAGAGGAACGTGAATAGTATTCTAAGAGTGTCTTGTTTGAGGCGATATTTAGCAGTGGTTCTTGGATCACAGTTTTTTCCCCCAGTGGCATGAAACTCCTCTCTGAAGGTACTATAACTGGTGACACACACACACACACACACCCGCTTTGAGAATACAGGCTTCAGAGAAGAAATGTTCATCAAGCTTGGGGGAGTGAAAGAAAGGGTTTCACTTCCATTCTTTGTCTTCAAGAACCCTGATAATGATCACTGTCTTTGCTGGCCAATTTTATGTGCACTTTAAAGAACATGCCAAAATGCAAAAGCATGTTTAATGCAAGTCTATGTTGGCTTTTTGAAGCAGATTATCAGGATTAGGGTGAACCAAGCTATTTCTGCAATTAATTGTACTGCAAGTCAGGTGATTTTTTTTAAAAAAAAATGCATTAAGATGTAAAGAACCTTACATTTAACTGCTGTATTTTCCATTGACTTAACAGAAACCTGATGTGTTAAAGCACACAATCACTTGTGCACAGCCTGCCAACGAAGGGGAAAAAAATTGACCGAATGCAAGAATGGAAAGTTGAAGCAAAATTATAGCAGGTGGGCACTCTGGGATTCCAAGCCAAAAGAATTGCAGAAAAGAAACCGTGTTCAGAGCTGCTCCACAACTAGACCCAGGCCACTCTCTTTCTGTCTTCTTCTTGGAGCATTTTTAGAGCATCAAAGTCAGGGACAGAATTTCAAAAGGGACCATTTCTTTGTTGTGGAAAGTTGCATTGGCAAAGAAGCAGTCACTGTTCAGAAAAGGGCAGCAAATAAAATAAAATGTAACACCTGAGCTCAAAATGAAAAGCGATGGACACAATCGGCAAATATTTCCAACGCAAATTACCTTTTCTTTTCAAACAAGAAAAAAAAGGGGGATATTTTTGAGACGTATGAACCCTTCAAGCATCAAACGCCTTGCCATTTTCCCTCTATCCCCAACACTTGGATTTACAACTCTAAATTTTACCTGAGTCGCAGCAATAGGTAGTTTGACTGGTTTGCTTTTGCTTAGCTTTGCTAAGAGAAGAGAAAGCCGCAAAGACAGCCAGATCAATTTAATCAGGAAGCTTGTTCAACCCTCAACTGAGCAGGTCCAAAGTCAAGAAAGCAGTGAGGGTGGGCAGAAAACAGCCAGGCTTCCTCCCCCTCGAGGAAAATGTGTAACTTTTTAGAAGATGGGAAGGAACCCAGGAAAACGCAGGCAAGCAGAGAGCATTCTCTGATAATTAAAACAAGTTGAAATAGAGGCATTGCCAAAATAGCCTTCAATTCATGGTCCAATTTTTGGACTTCTTTCCTTTTGCAGCATCTCAATGCTCTGCAACTTCAGTGCCCTTCTTTTATGCTGTGCTGCCCTTCAAAGCAGGAAAGGATGGAAAGGAGCCCCAGATCTTTCAAATGAAGCCTTTGTTTTAATTTTTGCCTTTAAGCATGGCATTTGGCCAAGAAAGCACTCAGTCGAGTTTTGGCCATGTGACCTTGTACAGTTTGGACAAGAGCTGCAAATGTGCTTCTTCCCACCTCCCCATTCTTACATCAGAATAAAAGCCTAAGAGGCTTGATGTTGATAAATGGTTTATTTTGTTTATAAACCAAGTCACTAGAATATGCATTTCCCTCTCTGTGCAATGTTCATGAACTAATCAATTTATCCCCCCTCCAGCATAATCAATCAACCTCCCAGAGAGATGGGATTTATAATCAGATTGTAGAGAAATTCAGATTGGAACCCACAGGTTATGTTAACCCCGATGCTTAATGCTCGTCTTCTTCATCATACAATAATCCAAAGAAAAAATTAAAAACAAAGCTTTTTTTTTTTTTAAAAAGGGTGTTTCACTTCTTACAATCACTGCCAAGTCTTACAGATTGCACTGTATACTCAGCCTTCATCCAGAGCACATTAAAATAACTTTGATTGCACAGTCACAAACTGCACTTTGCACAGGCTCAAAAAAATGTGGAATGATGGATGAAAAGGTAAAGAAGCATCGCTCCGAGGTGCTCTTTTCCCAAGATGGCTGTGAAGGGCTTTCTATGTTTGTTGCAGCTCCTGATACAGGAAGTCAACAGATGAAGGAATAATCAAATAGAAGATACTGACTTCTCCCCCCCCCCCCTTTTTTTAATGGAGTTCCATTTCATGCTAGTACTGTAACCTTAGCTCTTTTACAGTAGGAGCGATTTGCATTTTTAATTCAAAGCTAAATCCTACATATTTAGTTGCCTGAACATATCTGGTTAAAACTCAATCTGCTTTTAAGTTTAAAATGGAGTCAGAAGTAATGAATCCTGAATAACAAGCTTACATCCAGGTATGTATGGCTACAATCTTAATCTTCAGTTTAGTTTGACTTTGTATTAGTGGTTTATTGTGCTTTATGATGGAATTTTAATTTTTTCTCTCTCTCTTTTATTTTTTTCTGGAAGAATAAATGTGATTCCTCCTGGGACTTGCAATAGGCAATGCAAAATTCTACCAAATTGCATTGTTATTTGAAGTTGAAGTTGTCGGTAAGGAGGTAATTGGCCTGCGCAGGTAGTCCTTGACTTACAACACTTCATTTAGTAACCATTTGAAGTTCCAACAGTCACTGAAGTCACTGAAAAAAGCGACTTATGTCCGTTTTTCACACTTATGACCATTGAAGCATTCCCATAGTCATGTGATCAAAATTAAGATGCTTGGCAACGGGTTCATATTTATGAACGCTGCTATGTCCCAAGGTCATGCGATTCCCTTTTGAGACTAAGCAAAGTCAACGGGGAAACCAGTTTCACTTAACTTAGTGTTACCAACTTAACCACTGCAGTGATCTTCCTTCCCTTTTCTCCACCATTTCTATTGTTATTATGAGTTCTTACATTTCAGCTTCTTTTTTTATTTGTATCCCTATCCTTTAATCAACCCGCATTCTTGTATTTTTGGAAGGTTATCCGCTAGTTGAGGCCAGAACTGCACTATTGTTTCTTTGTTAGGGGTTGACTGGTTCATTGCAGTCTCTCTATTGAAGGATTAACCAAAAATATTTCTGATTCGACAGAAACTAGAGATTCTGCTTAGTGTAAGTCAAACTTTGAATCTGCCGATCTTCTTGCCTATAGCTGTTATTTGCTGCTTCATTATTTCCAATACTTCCTTAAGCTTCTTTGTTTCTAGGTGATATTTCTTGATCAGGTTTTGTTGTTTTGTTTTGTTTTGTTGTTCTTCAGCTTGTTTTCTTTCATCTGTTCTAACTTACTTGCATCTGACCTTAGCATGCCGAATCTTAATTTTCCAGCCTGATCTTCATTTTGGCGGTACATTCTCTGGATTATCCCCCCCTCTTGTTTGTTGATTTTGCATTCCAGGTATTCCGTTATAATTGCAGCCATGCTGTACATTAGTTGGTTTGTTTCTTGCAGTGTGAGCAGGTGCTTATATTTGTTATTATGGTATTGGCATCTTTTAATACTTGTACTAGCTGTGTCTTTGGAACAAGCTTTAATGTAGGCAATCATATTCTGTTGTTTTTGTGCTGATCTAGATGTCTTACAAAGTATGAGTGATTGCGAAATCTGTGCAAAGGTCCATCTCGGTGGTACTACTATCTGCTTTACTCTCTCTGTCTGTCTCTGTCTCTGTCTCTGTTTCTCTCTCCAACACTGCCTGGGATCAACTATGGAAAAAGAAGGAGAACCATTGCAACACTATGTGCCCTCTCTTCTAGTCCCTATAGGCCAGGGGTGTCAAACTCAAGGCCTGAAAGGTGGATCCAGCCCATGGGGTGCTTAGATCTGGCCCACAGGACTGCCCTGGAAACAGCGAGGCCACAGGCAGCCCTCCCAAGTTCCGTTTTCACTGGCAGAGGGTTATACAGGCATGATATTCCGCTCTGAAAAAAAAATCGGGGCCGGCCAAAAGAGACCCCCCGCCGCGCGCCCGGGGAGCGCCCGCTGCTTTCCCTCGCCAGGGCCGGGCGGCGGCGTGTTGCACGGAGGCTGGTCTGTGGCTGGCCCAGCTCCCTTTTCCTGCCACTCAGCGGCCTCCGCTCGCACCGCCCGGGCTCCGCTCAGGTATCCGGCTGGGGCTGTCAGGAGTTGCTACCGCCGGCGCAGCTCCACGCGGCTCCAGTCCCGCGTTGCCTCGGGAAGGGAAAGGCAAAACCAGGAGCCGCTGCTGCCATTGCAAAGTGCCGCCGCGGCTCTTCCTTTTTGCCTTTCCCTTCCTGGGGCAACGCGGGACTGGAGCCGCGCGGAGCCGTGCCAGCAACTCCTGACTCGGGGCCTCTGAGGGGAGGGGAAGGAGGAGAAGAAGGGGTGGGGGGAAAGGAGGGGGCGATTCCCAAAAAAATCGGAATTCCGATTTTAATCGGAAGAATATCATGCCTGGTTTATAGGAGGCCATTGCAGCCAAAAATGGAGTTTGGGAGCTCGTTTTTGTTGGCCGAGCACTCGGGTTGCCATAGGTGCCCCTGACACAAGTGATGTTGAGCTGGCCACCGCCCACCCTGGCCACACCCACCCCAGCCTATCAAGGTCCAACACAACCCTGATGTGGCCCTGAAGGAAATCGAATTTGACACCCATGCTATAGGCAGTCCAGAAGGAATCATGAACAAGGAGAATGATACCAAAATTATCTGAAAAGCAAATTATCTGAAAAGCAAAATTATCTGAAAAGCAATGAAAATAGTTGCACCATCCCTGTCCTGGGTCTACCAGTAGTCATCAAGAAGATACTGGATTTGCCAGAATGAGTTGCCAAACTTCAAAATTATACCTCAATACTGTGTGTTTCTATCACAAAAAAGTGGTTGCTTTGAAATTGATACAAATGTTTCCAACAGAATAAGCATTTGTAGGGATGATACAGACCTCTTAATTAGGCAAATACTTCATCATCACAGTACTGTATATGTTAACTCATTTTGTTTTTGTAGTTACTGATGTATTATTTGTTACTTTTTCTCAAGCTTGCACAAATAGTCCTATGGACCCAGTTAAGGACCATTTTCTCTTATCAACTATTTTGAACAGTTGACTGTGGGAAAAGAGTAGTGTATTTTTGTATATTTTGCATAAGTTTTCATAAGTGCACAATCATGCCTACCATCCCTGTCCTATTGTCCCCATTTATTCGTACCTATTTCCTGTATTCTTACTCATGTTTATACTTATACCTACTATCTTGTAAGTGATTGACAAATCAAATAAAAATAAATAAATAAATAATCCAGAACTATGATTATGAGGGTACAAAAGGGGCAGCCAGTGGAATTTCGCAACTGGCAGGGAATGCTATTTCTGACATAAGTGAACCAATTCCTTTGGAAAGATAAGATAATTGAAATTCTCAACCAATTCTGTGCAGAATGAAATAACAACTGAAAATATCAAAAAACACAATGAACTTGCTTGGCTTTCTCAAATAATTGTGTTCTATTTAACCGAACCTGCTTGAATGTAAAAGGTTGACTTGTTTTTCTCCTATGAACAATGCATCATGTTATAATTTCCCATGTTATATGGGTACAAACATTTTCAAGCCTGGTATGACACAGGTAGTTTCCACTGATAAAATTCCTGAAGCTGTTTTCACCCGTGTACCAAAAGAGAAGAGAGGAAAACCAGATCGGCAGCTTAGGGCCAGACTTTTTTAAAAAATTCCTTCACTTTTATTTGTTATACTTCCTTTCTAGGAAGTGGTAATGCAAAACTTACCTGTTGAAGAACAAATATCAAAATTCAAAAATCTGATGAAAGTAAAACAGAAACTCAGCTACTGTACTTCTCTTCCACAGCAATACTGCAATCTGGGATAACTGGAACATTTAAGGAGGCATACCAACATTACTCAAGTCATTACACCCCTGAAGAAGAAAGGGTGTCATGGAATATTAAAATTTCCCTCCTTTGAAGCTGTGAAGACTGCAAGCCAAAAAAAAAAAAAGGTTAGCCCTAATGCAGAGCTTTGGGGGAGGCAGTGGTAAAAAGCAGATCAACTTAAAATGTCAAAGCAGCAGCCCAGCAATAGCAGCAGCAAAGGAATCAAACAAAGCAAAACCACAAATGTGCCACAGACCTGATGGGGGATGAATCGCTGGACGTGGAGGAGGTGGGCAAAGGGCTGGATGGTGCGGAGAACATGGGCCAGGACGGTGAAAGGGGTGACGTTGGACTTGGATTCTGAGGGCTGCAAGACAGAACCAAACAACTTATCAAGACACAGAAAAGCACAGCACCAACAAATATCCCTCTTTGAAGGCATGGCCCAGCAATAATAAGGCCCCCCCCAAAATCTGTGGAACTAGAGAAAATCCCCAAATGGAAAAAGTGTGACATTATTTAAAGGCCGATGTCTTGTTCCATTGGAGTCTCTTTGTCTCACCTTAGACTTTCTCCCAAAGAAGCCTTCCTAGCATTCCCTTCTCCTGTTATACTCTAGGACAGGGATGGGCAACTATGGTCCTTTTATGACCTGTGGACTTCAACTCCCAGAATTCTGACAGTTGAAGTTCATAGGTCATAAAGAGGCCATAGTTGCCCACCCCCTAAGAAGATGCTTTCCTGCTGCCTTTGGCAAGTACTTCCCAAGGCCCAATCTCATTCTACCCTGTAACTCATGCTTTCTCCTCAGCTCCTCCTACCCCCTCTTTTATTTCAAGTATCCCACACTGATTACCAGAAAATTCTGGTCGTATTTTTATACAGTTATCAATCTTTGCAACAACCTGCTGTGGTAGTACGTTCCGGGGAAAAAGGGGGACTATTGTCTGGGTCACAATTCATAGCATGTGAAAATGATTTCCTGTTTACATTTATGGGTAAATGAGCCTTGCATGCTAGAAACCTAGAGGGACTTGTTTTTAATAAACAAATACGTTGGCAGGTGACTCTAAATGGAATAAGGCAAGAGCAGAAAGCTCGCTCCCAATCAAATTTGACCACCACCAGAATACAAATTAAAGACATCCCTCTTCTCCCCCCAGTATACATTTCCTAGATTGAGAAATAACTGAGATAAAAGCTAAAAACACCACAGAGCATTTTTTTCCTATGCAGACAGATCCACAGATGTAAACTGCGGTACATATTTATAAACCACACTGATTTAACTAATGGAAAGCATACTGATCATACTGTATTTTTTTTTCAGGTCCTTAAAAAATATTGGCTGCTGAGAAATGCATACAGAGACAAGCTGTGCCAAGAGAAGACCAGGATTGTTTCATGTGCTCAGGACATAAATAAGATATTATAGACATGAGCGCTTAGAAGTTCAAGTAGTTTCCTCCTAGTTAAACATAAGAAATAGTTTGGAAATGTGATCCTTCACATGCAATAGAATCTTCAGTCCTAGGATTTAGGGCTGTTTCTTTCAGTAATCGGCAACCACAATGAGTAGTGGCTTAAATGAAACCCTGACAAGTCCCATGGCTTGTTTGGACTGGAGTGAAACTACAAAACTCTCTTAGCTCCTTTGGCATTAATTACTCATGGGTATGCTTTACTGGCAGGAGGTGGTGGTGGTGGCTGAAAACCTGGAAAGACTTGCACATGTCAAATTTCAAATTAATTACAAAAATTCTCAAAGAGAAACAGGACATGTGTGTTAAACACAGCCTTTCATATTATTTGCCCTAATGGGGATGATTATCCAAGCGTCCAGCCAATTTGCAGCCCTACGGAGAGATGGGAAAGAAAATTAACTTGGGGCCTTCTGCTTGTGAAATATGTATCTAAACCTTCTCCCATCCCAAGGAGCACAATAACCTTGCCAAAGCCAAAGCATTTTAACACCTGAGGCAAGAAAGAAAGAAAGAAAGAAAGAAAGAAAGAAAGAAAGAAAGAAAGAAAGAAAGAAAGAAAGAAAGAAAGAAAGAAAGAAAGAAAGAAA